AATTTTCTATCAGCTCCTTCACCACGCTGACAACTGATGTAATCACCTGAGAACTTGAAAGGAGACGAATAGTTTCTGCCGGAAGCTGTTTCATAGTGGAGTAAGATTCAAAGGAGCTGCATAGAAAGATAACAGAACAAGAATGTAAAAGGCACATTACAAATACACATTTCTAAGTAACGGTTTTACAGCAACTTTTAAATGTAGGTGAAACATAACTATGAATAAAAAGTAAAATTTTCAAGATACAGTAAGACCCAGCTTCCTCTGCAGTCAATGGGAGTTTGACTTGTGGAAGAAACTGAACACAGGTCTCGCTAGACTAGAAAACATTATTTTAGATTAAACTTCTAATGAAAAACCTTAATAATCCTGAGATATAATAAGCAAAACAGCGTATCATCTCACATGCGTATAGTCATCTCCTCTAAATTACTGTAACACGTGGTTGTGCTAGTCAGAAATGTCTTCAGATAGGATATTTACCTAGCATCAGGTCTAATTCCAGCACCAATGCAAAAAAAATAGAAATTTTGAATTTTATTTTTTTTTTCAAACTGCTTAAATCACACCCCACCCCACCCCTAAAATTTCTGAGCTCAGCACTGCTGTGTTTTTGTGTGTACCTAAAAATTAATGGAAGAAACATGTCCTGAAGGTAACTGTTTTGAAATTGGGAAAGAAGTAAGGAAGAAGCACAGTGGTGCTGAGGCAAAAGTCATATTCAATGGCACTGTGATCGACTGGCAGCAATGAAAAACAAAACAAAACCAAAAAAACTGCTGAATTATAACCTTGCTTTTCTGATCTGACTTACTGTGTGCCCTCAGGCAAGTCAGTTTGTTTCTATGTCTCTGTATCTTCCACTTGAAAATAGAGATGCCTGATATTATAAACCAATGGAGACTTTTTTTTTTTAACCACTGAAAACACTTACAAAGGGTTACAAAATTTCTGATGCATAACAGAGACATTTTACCATGAAGAGATTGTAAACGGATCTACAAATTTTTGCATGCATTTCTGTTTAAGTACCCAGGCAGACACAATTAACCAAGCTCGGGAAAAAAATCTTTGTCGATCCCTGTAGCCTGACACAAAGAACTCAACGACAGTTTTTCATGCATATGAGAAAGGGGGGAGAAAAAGCATTGCTAGACAGCTCTTTGCACCTCAAGAATGGTTCAGACTTGGGTTTCTTCTCTGCACAGCAGCACTCTTTACTGGGTTATGTTATGTAATGTTATTTACACTGAAAGGCAAACAATCCCGGCAGTCCTGGCTTTCCCATCAATTCAGTTCAAGCTATCTACTGGAGAACATAGACTGCACACTTAGCACCTGTCCCAAGGATATGAGCACACGTAGAGGAATGGAGCAAACCCAGACTTCCTCCTGACGCTGTCAGGACACAGCAAGGGGCTGCAGCCAACACCCTAGAGGGCCGCTATCCTGCAGGGTATATGCAGCTGATTACAGGATGCTTCTCAGCCTTCATCCCTTCTAAAGACTGCCACTCTTATAAAGACAGAGAAAAAACATGGCTACTCGGTAGGTACAGTGTTTTGAAGAGAATCAGAACTTTTCTAAGAACAGCTGCAGAGAGGTTTTCTCTTTAAACTTGTTATTTACATTCCAAAGGGAGTTTGCCTTTCAGATGTGGTAAAAAGATCTGACAAATCAGTTTTCCACCAAACAAACTGGAAAAGGAGCACGGGAAGATGCCTGTTGTTGAAGACAGACCAATATTAATCATGTACACGCATTCAGAAAGGCAGGTTTCACCATTCTGTGATTCTATTTCCTCACACATTCACATGTTATACAGAACTCCCGTGTCAAGTGCTTTGTGATTAACTAAGTTATACAGAACTCCCGTGTCAAGTGCTTCGTGATTAACTAATGACAAGCGCCAGATCAAACACTGACTGAGAGAAGGGAGTGTCTAAAAACAAAAACCTTGCAGATCCCAAAGACAAATTTTCTATGAGGTGGGACTGATGCAGGCAGTTTGGGAGAGGAACCGGCTCCCGGTGTGCCCTCCCCTCCCCTGGACCCAAACCACCCTGCGCACAGCTGCCCGCTGCTCGCTGAATGGCAGCAGGAGGAAGACATGGGTGGCCATAGAGCCATGATGGCCACATCTTGGTTGGGGCACCTGTTGGGAGGGAGCCATCTCTGGTACTTGCTACCCAGGGATATACATCCAAGCCCCCATCGCTTTTAGCTAAAAGACACAGAATCATAGAATATCTGGAGTTGGAAGGGACCCATAAGAATCATCATGTCCAACTCCCTGCTCCTTCCAGGACTGTCTAACACTAAGCCATATGACCAAGAGCATCCTCCAGATGCTCCTTGAACTCAGCTGGTGCAGTGACCACTTCCCTGGGGAGCCTGGTCCAGTGACTGACCATCCTCTCAGGGAAGAACCTTTCCCTAATGTCCAACCTGAACCTCCCCTGATGCAGCTTCACCCCATTCCCTCGTGTCCTGTTGCTGGTCACCATAAAGAAGATCAGCACCCGCCCTTTCTGCCCCCCCTCATACTCCACATATTTCAGCTCAGGCCATATTAGTACTATAGTTCTTCATTGACCGGCTGTATTATAATCCATACTCAGTAAGAAAGCACAGTATTTTCTGTGTTTGAGCACCATCACCGATGCCGTTCTTTTGCCCCTCTAAACCAAGTCAGACACCGCAGCAATGGGGGCTCTCCGAAGAGCTGTAATACTGCACGCCATCAGGTAAAGCGCACACAAAAAAAGCTCCTTAAAACTTCACAGCTGCATCCCCACAGATTCCTAGAGCAGCACCCAAACCCCACTCCAACAGCCACCTTTCTTAGGAGCCTGCCAGAACACGTACTGAAGGAATTCTTGGGGGGGAGGAAGAGGGAGAAAAGTTGCAGGTAAAGCTTGCGGCCAGTCACCCTTGAGTTCACGTAAAACCACACAAACGGCCCACAGTTCCCGGTTCTGCTTTTCGTCAAGAAAAGTACCGCGCCGAAACAACGCCGCTCCCCTCAGCGAGGGGAGGAGGGAGATGAGGGCAGCCACCGCCGCGAGGGACGCGTCTCCCGCCCGGCCAGCGGGGGCCTCCCTCCCCGGCAGCGCGGCCCCGCTT